AATGTTTATAAATATCTCAAGAGTGGGTGTCAGGAGGATGGGGCCAGACTCTTTTCAGTAGTGCCCAGTGACAGCACAAGGGGCAACAGGCACAAACTGAAGCATAGGAAGTTCCGTCTGAACATGAGGAAGAACTTCTTCACTCTGAGGGTGATGGAGCACTGGAACAGGTTGCCCAGAGAGGCTGTGGAGTCTCTTTCTCTGGAGATATTCAAGACCCACCTGGACAAGGTCCTGTGCAGCCTGCTGTAGGAGACCCTGCTTCGACAGGAGGGTTGGACTAGATGACCCACAGAGGTCCCTTCCAACCCCTACCATTCTGTGATTCTGTGATTCCCTGTCTGGAAGGACTTTCTCTAGATGGCAGAGGCAATTAGCCCCTGCTACTGCCCCACTTCTTGGAGGGAGAGGTGATGCAAGTGCAATATCTCAGCAGAAGTACCTTAGTCAGCACTGCATGGTGATGACACTTGTCACCGGTTCTGATGTCACTCTGCTGACACAGGCTGTGTGGCTTGGTGACCAGGTTCTGCCCTAGATGGGGATCCCAGCCAGAGGCCGCTGGAGCAAAGCATGTGGATCATAAATCTCAACCTGCAGCCCCTCGCAGGTTAAGCCAGAGGCAGTGTCCTCTCCACCTTTGCTCCTGGGAAGGAGCTGGGATGATCAAGAAAATGCAGCTGTTCTGTTGCCTTATGTCCACACCCTGGGGTGTTCTCTGACACAGGACAACCTGCCATCCTCTGAGCTCTCGCAGTCACGACTTCCCTCCAAGACAGGGCAGTGTCAGCCCAAGGTTGCTACTGTGCAATCTAGTTGAAGCTTTCTCCATATAAGAAGCACTGAATCACTTGAAATGTTATTCCCCAGGATGCATATTGTGATTGCAGGGATAGGTGTCCCCAGTGTGCACTGGTAGTCCCCAGGCAGTTGTGTAGATCATTGGATGATGGAAGGTCTTGCTCTGGTTCTGAAAGCACCCTGCATGTTTGTTCTTTCTCTGCCTTGCCCGCAGAAACATGACGAGACAGTTCCTGGAGGCTGGCCCTCAGCGGGTCGGTTCAAAGTATAAGAAAGTGATGTTTGTGGAGTACGAGGACGCAACCTTCAAGAAGCGCAAGGCATCAGATCACCTGGACAAGGGAATTCTGGGGCCTGTCATTAAGGGGGAGGTTGGAGATCAGTTTAAGGTAAGAGAGAGATTGCTTTCTGCAAAGAGGGAGTGGAATGAGAAACTTCAAAGTGTGATGCTGTTCCTTCTAATAGCTGTTGGTTTGTGGCTAAGGTCTGACATAAGTCCTTGAGGTGCTCTATCATGTTTAGTAATGTTCAAAGTTCACCAGAAAGGCAGATGTTACTGAAAGCTAAAGCTAAATACTGTCAGTGAGATCAGTAGAGATGCACAGGATATGGCCCAGTCCCCTTGATTTGACTTCACTGTAGGCATCTTAGGAATCATGTGAATTAAGCTATGATGCGTGGCATCCAGCACCTTCCTCTGAGGCAGGAGTATCCTCTCATCCTCTACTCTTCTCCATCTGTGTGCTCTTACCATACAGTATTGGGGACTGTCTGTTGTGTCTCCCCAAGTGCCTCTACTGACCACTTGACTTGTTTAGTACTAGGAGGAATGGGATGGTTTCCAGGAAGTTCACATTTCTGCTTCCTGCCTGGGGTTCCCTGTGCAGTTGTGGGCATGGAGCTGAAGGTAATGCCTGTGGCAAAGCCCGAACAGAGCTATTTAGAGAAATAAATAAAGGGCTTCATGCAGTGAAGTGGGGAGCACTTCGAAGCTGTTGACTGCTGTGCATGCTTAGTGTCTTGGTCCTCTGAGGCCTCCTGGATTGACAGACCTCTTTTATCTCATATGGAAAGTGAGACTAAAGACAGCAACTTTCCCTGTAATAAAACTGATATTTCCATGCCCTCCCTAAAATGGGCAACTCCTGGAAAGGTGGACACTGTAGACTGGTAGAGAAATAAACAGTCATTTTTTCCAGTCTGACTCCTACTTTGTGGTCCCAGACATGTTTGGGTTCCTCGCTGCTGGCAGGTAGCCAACTCAGAGCACCCCTGCCCAGCATTTCCATCCCTGCGAGGACACTGAGGGCAGCCTCGAGGGCTCAGAATGTTCAGAAAGCATTAAATGTTCCTGCTGGCTGTCCTCATTTCAGATTGTGTTCAGGAACCTGGCAAGCCGACCGTACAACATCTACCCTCATGGCCTCACCAGCGTAAGGCCATACCACGGCATGAAGGTGTCTCAAGGTAAGACAGGCCATGAGAATCTGGGACATCACCTGGCCACTGCGATTCTTCTGGGCCAGGAGAGCTTCCTGCAGCCCGTGGTAAGACTGGTTGTCCAACCCATCCATCCAAGGACCTGAGTCCTGCAATCCCAGAGATGATGATGTTTCTTGGTTCATGTCCCCCTTAGTGCCATGTAACCCTGTCTTTAAGGAAGGCTTGGATGGTGGCTGGAAGAAGGGGCATTGTCAGCCAGGGAGCTGAGACCATGTTGTTTGGCTTCTTTCTGCTGAGACAGGAACCACCCTGGTGATCCTGCCTGTGTTTGCCAGTTTGCTCAAAGTCCTCATTCCTTGGGCTCCCCTCCACCTTGCTATAGAGTGTGGGGTTCATTATGATTCAGGCTCTCGCTCTCACAGATTCACAGTTTTTGCTCTGGGGTTGTTGAGTTACCAGGTCCCTTTCCCAGAACTGCTTTCATCCCTTGCTGGCATGCTTCCAGGACCACAGCTTGTGCAAGGCCATCCCACACCCCTCCTGGGCAAAATCATGCCCCATACCTCTCCCATCCTCCTCTCTGCCCTTTTGGGTGCTGCACAATGATGGGAGTAACTGTGGAGGCTGGAGAAAAGCTCCTCTGCTGCAGCAGAGGAGGCAGAATCAGGATGGCAGCCACTAAGGAATTCAGCGAACTATGTCAGTTTTGTGACCTGTTACTATCTAAATTAAGGTTTTCTTTCAGGAGCCTCAAAAGGGCAAAGCAGCCCATTGGGTGGCAGGACTAAAGGAGCCAAGCTGCACAAGGGAGCTGGGAGCCCTGTCCCTGCCCCTCTGTCAATATCCCCCAGCCAGATATGGCTCACCAGCTTTGCCAGAGATTAAACCCTGAAAGTGGGTGAGTCATGGTCCTGGAGCCAAAGGGATGGTGCTCTGTAGAGGAATATAAATAAAAAGAGCTATTCCTACTCTGAGTGACACATGATCTTTGCAAACCATGCTCTTACAGCAGCTCAGCTGGGCACTTGGAACAGAGAAACGTCTTTTCCTGATTTATCTGCATTCGAATTTTCCTTCTGCTTCTTCCAGATCTCCTCCTTGCTTTTCTCAAGATCTAGCTGTATTTCCTTAAAATATCTACCTTTTCTTGCTTTGTTTTTCACCCATTTCAGCCCTGCCCACCTCTGTACCTTCATCTGCAAATTCCTCTAGGCAGCCCAGAGCACAGACACAGCTGAGTGTAGGCAAATTTTCCACTTCACAGGAGTTTCAAGGTCTTTCAAAATTAGGCATATGCCTCTCCATACTCACCTGGTTCCAGGGGCTCCTTTTGTCCAGATCAACTTCCCATGCAAGCACATGCTAGCAGCCAGTGTCCCATCTTGGGGTGGGCGTGGGTTTGAGTAGTTTTCTGTGCAACTTATGTGGTCAGGAAACCTCCTGTCTAAGCTCTTTTAAAAAGCTGGATCACTCCTCCCACGAGCAGCCCAGACCTAACTGATCTGCCCTTGGGCTGTGTGTTGCCAGATAAGGATGTGAAGGACATTCCTGTCCCCCCTGGCCAGTCATTCACCTACATCTGGATAGTCACCACTGAGGACGGGCCAACGCAGGCAGATCCTCGCTGCCTCACCCGTTTCTACTACAGCTCCATTGACCCGGTCCGAGACATGGCCTCAGGCCTAATTGGGCCGCTCCTGATCTGCTTTAAGAAGACCATGGATCAGAGGGGAAATCAGGTGTGTCCTTCCTATGTTGCCTCAACTGCCAGGCTGAAATGCTGGAATAACTGCGGTGGGTGAAATACTTGGGTAAAACCAAATTTGTCTGTCCTGTTGTCTTCAAACTTACTGTCAGTCCCAATGCCCCTGCCTTCCCCATCCTCCCATGCATGCTCCCTTATCTCCAAACCTGGACCCTAACTCCTGTGAAATAGCAATAAACTGTTCCCTGTGCACCCAGGCTAAGACCTGGCAGCTACACTGGGCCGTGGGGGTGCTCTGACCAGGAATAACCACTTCCCTCTCCACCTTCCAGATAATGTCAGACAAGACGAGATTGGTTCTGTTTTCGGTCTTCGATGAGAACCGCAGCTGGTACCTAGAGGAGAATATCAGGCAATTCTGCACTGATGCAGCCCATGTGGATACCCAGGACCCCCAGTTTTATGCCTCCAACGTGATGCACAGTGAGTGCTTGGCCAGGGGCTTCCTGCAAAGCCCAGCAGACAGAGTCATCCCTGCCCCGGGGAACAAGCAGGGAACATGCAGCAGCTCGGCAGCCATGGGGGAATCAGGTCCTGATGAAATGTTTCACCCCTGCTCTCTTCCAGCTATTAACGGCTTTGTGTTTGACAACTTCCAACCAAAACTATGCCTGCATGAAGTTGTGTACTGGTATGTCCTGAGTGTTGGGGCCCAAACAGATTTCCTCTCTGTCTTCTTCTCTGGAAACACATTCAAGCACAACATGGTCTTTGAGGACGTGCTTACCCTTTTCCCATTTTCTGGAGAAACGGTCTTCATGAGTTTGGAAAAACCAGGTCAGTAACATGGGCTATTCTATAAACCATGGGCTTGGCATCACAGCAGAGGTAAGTGAGCATCTCCAGCCAGGTCTCTTGTACCTGACTGCATTTTGGCAGCCTTGAGAACAAAGGGATGCACAACCTACTGGAATCGCAAAGTGAGAGGCAATGATCAAATCCTTCCAAAGCTTAAACCAAAGAAATTAAATTACTGCATTTTACTTCATTAATATGGTGTGTTAAGGTCACACGTGCTGCCAAGCCAGTAAGCTGGCTGCAGTAATGTGAGCCCTGTGGACCTCGCATCTACAGTCTTGGCTCCAAGCTCAGAGGTCAAGGGGAGCAGCAGCTCTGTCCCTGCTGTGGATTCAGCTGCTGGTCACAGCATTCCATTTATCTCCATAACTTTGCAAGGACAGAAATCGCAGCCACAGAGAAGTCCTAGGAAGGATTTGCTTCACAGTTTGGTTTTATTTCCCCCCACTCAGCATTTTTGCCTTAGCATTTTCAAAAGTGGTGCCGTTAACCATTTCCTCACTCAAAGGAAACACAGAACTTACCAAGTGATTGCAAACACTGATATGATGGTCACGAGTGCTGAACCCTGAGCCAAGCTGACAGGAAGCTTCCTGAAACCCAGCCAAACGTTGCATCCTTTTGAGCTCTGATTTTTGCCTGCTGATCTGAAACAGGCAAGAAGCTCAGCCAGCAGCAGATGACAGCTCTCCCCAGCGTCAGAGCCTGGTTATTACGCACCTCCTCACTCTTGGTGCCTAGAGCAGAGATGCTCGCTGCAGGGAGCAAACAAGTTGGCTGGGGATGTGAGCAAGAGGCAGCCTTTTCATTTCTTTCTTCTTGAGTGGGAGAGACGTGACAACCGCGTCTGGAAGAGAGATGTATTTGACAGTACCAGCATGTCTTTGGAGGTGGATTATGGTGATTACTCTGCTGCTGGCAATAATCCTGGAGGCTCTGTGAATTCTCAGTGCATTAACTGTTTTCACCAAGCTATTCTTGGGGCCTCACAGATGTGTATAGCTTGCTAAGATCTGTCAGGAACCACCCACCCTGCTGATGGTGCTTGTCAAGATTGGCTCTGATGTTGCTAGCAACACTGATGTCTTGTGAGTCCAGCTGTAAGATACTCTATGGATTATGAAAATATATAATCACTACCATGAACCAGAGGCTGCCTGAAAATATAGTTTGCACTAGCAAAGAAGCAGCATGGGGATGGAAGCTCTTCTGACTTCACACTGTGGTGGGCTAATAATGTCTTCTTGTCCTCTCTTGAGACAGGCGTCTGGATGCTGGGGTGCCTGAACCCTGATTTCAGAAACCGAGGGATGCATGCCAAATTCACAGTCTTACAGTGCCAACATGAGCAATACCCTGATGGGGAAGATTATGTGGACTTCGAGGAGGAGGAGGGCACCTTTGACTTCCAACCCAGGAGCTTCTCTAAAAGAAAGAGATGGCACATGCCATGTGTGAATGAGCAACTGAACAACATCACCTCTTCCAGAAATAAGACAGAGAAGCCAAGATTATGCTTGACAGAACCCAGACATGGGTCCCTCCTGAGCAATGGTAGGATTTCTGATCCCCCTTCCAAAGGCACATCAACACTTTTAGGAACAATCCCACATGCACCTGATACTTCTATGTCTTCTCTGCCAGAGACAAACTATGAGCCAGTATCCTATGAATCCTTCCTGGAAGACGAAGAATTGCCAAAAATCATTAGCCAAGATGAAGCATTTGGATCTCTCCCATCTGGAGAACACTTGGCAAGTGTCAGTGGAAGGGTCCGTGGTACTGTGAGCTCAGAAGAAGGTCAGCAAGGGCTGCACCAAGCCATGCCAGGTCCAGAAAATGCTATGGCAGGAAAGGAGGTGATAAAAATTTTAGAGGTGCAGGACCCAGTAAAAAGGACGATGGTGCAGTCTGGTGGTACATTAGAGATCCTAGAATCAGGGCCTCAAAAGACAACTACTTATGCAAGAAGTTTGTGGGACTCAATTGCTTATGCTGCTAGCAAAGCCCCCCTTCAAGAGAATAGGAGCTCATTTCATCAGAATGACCTGGAGCGCAATCTGGGACTTCAAGACACATCTTCACAGGATGCTGAGGACAAGTTGCTAAGAGGGGCTGATAAAATATTCTTAAGTCTATACGAGTCAAAGGAGACAATCAATACAGAACCGACTTTAAGTACTGATCATAACTCTTCCTCCACACTGGACAATCCTGCTGCATCTTCAGACATGGCAGAAGACAACAGGACTTCTCATGCTGTGGTTCACAGTCACACCAGAGAAAGGAATTATTCATCAAATGAGCCAGATGCTAGGCTGGAAGAAAGACCTCACAAAGTGGTTTTGCAAGGCTTTTATGAATCTTTCAAAGGGAAAAATGTTTCTTTCTCAGACTTGGGACCCAGCAAACCTGTACCAGGACAAATCCTCACAGATGAGGGTAACTTCTTGCCTGCAAAAAGTGTCACAGAACAAGAAGCCAATGAACTTGCCAAAGGTACAAGCCTTCTAAAAGCCACCTTTGCACACACCAACGACCTTGAGCCTTCCAGCTATATAATGATGGAAGAGAGGGATGAATTAATCTTGGAGACAGTGTTTCAGGATGCTACAGCCACTAAGGAATTGCCAGAGATGGACAGTCTTGCCTTTCCTGAATCGAACGTCATGGCCAATGACACAAGGCAGTTCCCAAATGCTTTCTTAAACAGCCCTGAGCAGTTTCTACTACACAGAGCTCCAAACCCAAGCATGAGTGGCCCCAGTTGGAGGCCTCGACAGACCAGGTCACTGGAGAGCAGAGGCTTGACGCATGGTCCAGGTCTTCCCAACACCAACTGGCCTGGCAGCAGGGAGCCCCTCTCTGAGGGTAACAGAGTACATCAGGGTCTGGCCAGCCAGACCCCTGAAACAGCAGTGAATAAGAAAGCTCCAAGGGCATGTGGACCCCATTCCCCTTTTTGCAGTGCTCGCTTCAGAAACAGGTCCCTGATATCAAGTGACATTTTGCCTGAGGTGGTGCTGGCCCAGCAAAGGCTGGAAGAAAAATCAAACATGGTTGAGGGGAGACCACATCTAGGCAGGGATGCTCCACAGGCTCTGCTTGGAAATAGTGCTGACAAGATGCATCCTGAGGGGAGGCCAAGCACAGATGGAGGGGTCCAGAGCAGCAGCGAGGGGGCTCAGCTCAGCAGACACTCCTTCCCCACACGGGGAGCACTGGAGAGTGAGGCAGCGATGGCAGCAAGTAGCTCAGAAATGCAGGCTGCTGCTGTGGCTACAGACCTTCCCTTAAACTGGGACCCGGCCTCCCTGGGGGCAGCAGGATATGCCAAGGGCTTGCAGAGCCCAGCTTTGGCCAAGTTGCAGCCAGGCAGAGGTGCTGTCTGGGGGGCTTCTGGGAGCAAGCAAGCTCAGGGGATAAGCCAGATGGAGGAGGAAACAAACTCTGTAGAGCAGCTGGGTCTACAGAGGAATCATGCCCCACGACATGGAGAGAAACCAGCTCTAAACAACAAGACCCATTCCAGCCCCTGGAAGCCAAAGGCTGACAGGCTGGACTATGACGAATACAGTGACACAGAGCAGACGATGGAGGATTTTGACATCTACGGGGAAGAGGAGCATGACCCACGCTCCTTCCAGGGGGAGGTACGGCAATACTTTATTGCAGCAGTGGAGGTGATGTGGGAATACGGGAACCAGAGACCCCAGCACTTCCTAAAAGCCGCGTAAGTGTGACTGTCCCTCATGTATTCCTCCTGCACTGCATGGCATGACTTGATGTGTCAGTTGGTATGTCCTGGCAGACAAAATCACAGGTCTATGACTGTACGACCCAGCCAAGCAGCCCAGGGGAAGGATGCTCCCAGCGCCTCCCCTCCACCTGGGGACTTTTGTAGTCCAGCAACCTTGAGCTTCCTTGCACGTGGGTCAGGGACGCTTTAGCCTCTGCATCACCGCTGCCCTGCAGCAACCCTGCCATGGCTGCCCTCCCTATGGGACAGTATCACCTAACTTGCTTAACTGCCCTCACCCCAGCAGGGACCCCCGGAGTGGCAGGAGGAAGCCTTTCCAGCAGTACCGCAAAGTGGTTTTCCGAGAGTACATGGATGATTCCTTCACACAGCCGCTGCTGCGGGGAGAGCTGGACGAGCACTTGGGCATCCTCGGGCCATACATCAGGGCAGAAGTTGAAGACGTCATCATGGTGAATTGAAAGTACCCATTTCCTATAAAACCTGAAATCACCCCATTTCTGGCTGTGCTCGGCCAGAAGCAGTGCTGAAGTGGGCCTGCAGGCTCTGCGATGCCCACGGGTTCACCTTCAGGGCTAGGGGGCAGGAGCTGCCCTGTTGGCACCCTGCATGGCATGTGGATGGCACCAGGTTGGGAGGCAGAGCCACCGTTCAGAGGGACCTCAGTCGTTGGAGGAACCTCAGTGTGTTCAGATGCAAAGACCTGGACCTGAGACAGACCCAATCCCTGTAACAGCACAGCCTAAGCAGCTCCTGAGCTCCATGGGGAGCCTTTTGAATGAAGGGATTGTAAAAAGGGTAATGAGCTAAGCAGGGTTCAGTACAGCTTCTCTGAGTGCTTGGGCATCCCTCACCACCAAAGGTCCTTCAGCACCCACCTAAAGAAGAGGTGAAAGGCTCTTCACCAGGCTCAGTACCCATATGCCTGGAGAAGTTACCCAGTTTTCACTCAAATCTTCACCAGGATGGATTCAGCACCTTTGGGCTCCAGAGGCAGTAGTATAGCTGACCTTGATCCCAATGAGCAGGGAGAGGGCCGTATCCTGCTGACATGACCGGGGTGCGCTTTCCACTGGGGATCACACTGCACAGCTACAGCTTGTGGTT